TGCAGGACAGAACGCAGAGGCTAGAGGTAGGTGTAGGCTTATTGATAATTCGGTGAAACCAAGATATTACCGATTTTAATTGAAAGAATACCAGCCCGTACTGGTATTAAATGGTCAAATACTGGTCCGGACTGAACTGCGGATTAATGTCAGTCAGTATGAGTATGAACAGATTACCACTTTGGACAGTGATATTTCTAAAACAGACGTTAGAATTTATGCAGGTATGTAATTCTGCTATATGCAGGGGTGTAATTCGGTTTCTGACGGCTTCAGTACACGTAATACTGCTATGATATTGTGTATATGATCCTATGTCATATTTAGTCTACGTAGTCACATACCACTGCTTTTATTAATACCTCTGGTTTGTGATAATAAGGCAGGGGTAATTAGACTAAACCTCATGGGCAATAAGCACGTAAATCGTCCATAACTGTTGTAGTGGATAGAGCGACAGTTCTTCAGTGATACTTAAGGAGAACAGTTTCTCCAATAAGACATTTCAGTCACGGGTTCGTTACAGACTTTAAAACCATTCGATTCATAATGAGCGTAAGTGCAAATCAGATCCGATAAGTGATAAGTGATCATTTCTGCCATTACTCTTTAAAATGCTTCAGAATTTTAGGTCATTCTTCTAACATCATTGTTAGGTTTCAGGCATTAAAGTGCTTCATCGATGGTGAAACATTGAACAGTTACGTATCAGAAGTGAACAAGCTTCATTTTAATGATGCTAGCATTCATCGAAACTATTTCTCTAAGTTCGAAAAGTTTTTCCTTCTTCACCTGTGCTTGCTTGGAATTCGAAAGGTGGCTGGTTTGTTACTGTTGTTTGTAAAAGTTGCATTCATTTGGCTTTAGAACAAAACGTTCACGATTTGCGCTTTTAAAATGTTCTCGCTTCTCACCGCGGGCGATGAAAGCATAGTTGTGTTATTACTTTGGAAAATCATGTAAGTTTATTTTTGGTAATCTTCTGCTTCACAGTCAATGTGTTGTGTTTTAGGAATGCTGAAACTGTGCGCTTCCTAGAAATGGAACTTCCAGAAGGCGCGTCTTGTTCCATTGATAATAAAGATGATGCCTATTTGTTAAGCTTGAAAAAAATGAAACCAGTTAAGGAACTGATCTCATTGACATCGAATTC